TGCAGAGTGAAATATTGTTCTCAAGACTGAACTTAACGACTCTTATGCTTATAACGAGTTAATTAGATTAGAATAATAGTTTAGCTATGATATATATTATGCTACTCGAATGAAAATGTACTTATATTTTCAATTGATTAATAAACTGACAATTTAGTGTTGTGAAGCAGAATTTTCATTCTTTTTACCATTATTTTTCTTTGCACGTTCTGGTGTGAAGTTGACTTCAGATTTATATACACTTTTATCCCCAGTTGATTTTTTTACCGACTTAACTGTCTTCAAGACATCTTTCTGCAATAACAACATTATCAGTATCCTATTAAAGAAACTTTGATACTCATCAATTTGATTTGTTACCTGAAAATTCATGAGAAATGCCATGTCCGTTGCAAATTGTTCCATATCATCGAAGCTGTTGGGAAGCTTGATGCACGCAAATTCATCATACAGATATATTGATGGAAGTGGCCGTGCCATATATCGTATGCGAATTTCTCCATCTAAGACAAGAGTCTTGTGAAAAATATACATATGACGGAATCTTTTTACTATGCTGTGATACTTACTCACACATTGAACTGTGTACACACGAGCCTTTTCAGAAGATACTGTGTCAAGTAGTTTGTTTAATATTCGCATGGCGTTTCGGCCAAGTTTTACTTTGTCGTCAACATCCTTGGTATCGGGGGACTTTATCCCTTTTGAAAACTCAGAAATTCCTATTACTTGATGGTTCTCTTTCTTTACATTGAGAACTTTTAAAATGCCATCATTCTTACGGTTCTTTGTAACTGCAGTGATATTTCGATCCTGAATCAAACAAAAGGAAATTAGATGTAATATAACTCGAAACTATTGGAAATTTAAAATTGACACTTGCCAGTTCCAATCCAACACATCCTGGTGCATCCTAAAGAGTCGGTTCATTATGAATATGCTCGTATCAATAGCGTAAGTCCTTTCGAGACTCGATGCATTTGACTCGGAGTTGATTGGGGCTTCCAATCGCTCTGAACTATTTATTGATTATGTTAGTGTCATTGATTTTACGTAAACAAGGATATATACTATTATGGGTCACGTGGGTGACGCGATTTACGCGTAACGGTCTAGAATCCAAAAACCCAAAAGTCTGGCATGAAAGATTGAGTGTTGCAAGGTAAGAAACTATAGATAAG